GATTCTATGATTCTATGACTTTATATGCTGTCATCCAAGAGCTGTTCATTGCTTTTGAGCACAGAAGACATGTACAACAACCATTTTTAAAGGACAGAGGTAGATTATGTTCCTTGTCATAGCAAACATCATGACAATCTGATTGTTGATGCAGGTACACATGATTGAAAAGTTTTATTATTATTTCCTTCTGACCTTTTCCTCTGTCAAAGATTTCAGTACTATGAAAAGGATTAATTAGATATGAAAGTTGCAAAAAAACATGAAAAAAGTTACAAACTATACCCTGATCCTATTTTACAAGCACTATCATGAGACAGTGCAGGTTTTTACCTTCAATTTTGCATAGAAGAGATACAAGAAAAACAGTAAACTTTAAAGTCAAGTCATCTGCATGCTTCTTACAAAATACAGTTAACAGAAATACAGTCTTAGGGCACTTTAGCAGAACTGGAACTTGCTCTGTCCTGGCACTTCTTGTATCTGGGAATTATCAAAAGTATTTCTGTTCTTTATAGGTCCCTCTTTCAGTCCGACCATGACGAGTTTTTTTCTGCTGAAGCTGGAACCTTCAGCTCCTTGCTTACTTCACCGTGATGTTAATGATGCTGATATCCTCGTAGGGTTTGTCAGTTTTGGGATTGACTTTTACATTTGAGATTCTCTGAACAACCTCCATTCCTTTAGTCACCCGTCCAAACACACTGTGCTTGTTGTCCAGCCACGGCTGTTTGAGGGCACATGAAGAGACAGAAAAAAACATATTAAAATAGAAAGCTCCATGTAGGTCAGGTACCAAACCGGGAAGAGACTGACCTAGAATTAAGTGAACACAGACACATTTTATATGTTCAGACTATGAAGCTTAACACTATGCAAATTTTATTAGCATTTAAGTAAAGATTGGAGGGCAGATAATGCATAGTCCCATGTATTTAAACTCACGTTTTCAATTATTTTCTTAAAGCACTTACAGAAGCCAAGTTCTGGCAGTGCAGCAACACTTCATAGTTTATTTCAGAGTGTATTCTCAGTTCACAGAAATGCTGTTTCAGTCTATTTCATGGTATTTTCACAGCTGACTTAAGTGACAATCCAGAATACTACTTAATTCAAAGTCATATTTGTACAGGATGCCTAATTAGCAATCTAAATACAGGCCTCAAAATTCTGGTAGATGACTGCTTTTCAAAAAAAGGCACATGATTTTGAAATACGTGCTGTAAGAATGCGGTTTTGTAACTGCTACCTTTAAGGATTTTTTTTTTGTATCTGTTAGAGTCACATAACAAAATCTTTTGTCGGGCTCTGAAATAGTACACAGATCAAAGGAAATCTTCAAACCTGAATACTGTCTTCTTTGTATAGTTATAATCAGGCAATATTAGAAGTCATTCAAGAACTCCAGTCACTCAAAGCAACAGCTAGATTTCCATCAAGTTTAAACCAGTGTATTAATATATAAAGTACTCTATTAATACACAATTGCAAATGGCTGATTTACTAAGAATTTGCTATTGCCCTTAGTCTAGTTAAAGGCAAAAGGCCTCTTGATCACAGCTGACAAAAATATGTTTCTACCTCTTAAAAGACAGTTTCAGTGAAGCCTACACACTGCACACTGTTGTATCTCTTGTATGCAGAATTTATTTGCAAAACAACATAAAAAGATTCTTTGGATAGTACCAGAGTGTTCCTTTTACCTTCAGAAAAAAAAAATACTTTTAGCATCTAGTTAGTCTCTCAAGCCTTAAAATGAGCTTTTAATATTACTTACAGTTGGGACTACTGTTATAAAAAACTGGGATCCATTGGTATTTGGTCCTGCATTAGCCATGCTGAGGGTGTATGGCCTGTCATGTCGTAAAGTTGAATGAAACTCATCTTCAAATTCTCCTCCCCAAATACTTTCACCTCCCATTCCTGTACCAGTTGGGTCACCAGTCTGAATCATGAAACCCTGCACAGAAATTAAGTGTTATGACATCATTGCATAGAATAAGTCAGCAGAAGTGTTTTATGTTAGGTGACTTTTTTTTTTTTTTTTTTTTTTTTTCAAAATTCCTTAAAGGTAAGTATTAAGATGCTGTGGATAAGGGACAAAGGATTTAGGGCTTAAGTGACAATTGAGTACTTGTGAAAAAACAAAGTTCCTGCTGGTGAAGGACAGAAACCTGACTATCTGTACCTGACTATCTGCACCTTCTGCAAACCCTTAGGCTGTATCAGCTTGATTCTGATGCAACAGAAATAAGAAGCCTTACAAGAAATACCTTCTGACATGAAACAAAGTCTTAATTAGAGCAAGACTGCAGAACTCATCTTTCAATTTTGAGATTTCATCCACCTGGTCAGTTGCAGAACAACCATTAAAGAACTTCAGTAAGTGACAAAGCTATTTTTTATAGAATACTGGACTTGTTCAGACTTTACAAGAAACTCTGAAGCCATTCTAGAAAACCTTTGTGCAAAAGGGGCATGAAATGGTTAACATAGAGACCTGACCACAAAGGTACATACTCTTGAACTGACAAAAAATTAACATGTTTTACAAGTTACCTTGATGATACGGTGAAATATGTGTCCATTGTAATAACCATTTCTGCTGTGCACGCAGAAGTTTTCCACTGTTTTGGGGCACCTAAAGGCACGTAACAGAAAATACAGGTTACAATAAATATTTAATTGCATGGTGGCAAGGCCATAAGATTTCAGCTGAGACGAAGATCCTACTGTACTGTGTAGTGTTTCAGCACACGCTAGGAATGTCTTCCTTTAAATGAGGAACAAAACAAATCCCACCTCCTCAGAGCCAGGGCTGGAAGCAGAACACTTTGGAGGAGGACGAAGTTGCATGATCAGAAAGGAAAGCAGCAGCAGTGTTGGTAACACACCTGTGTCCTCAACGCTGCTGAGCAGGGCTCACAGAACCAAGGCCTCTGCTCCTCACACCACCCCTCCAGCGAGCAGGCTAGGGGAGCACAAGAACCTGGGAGGGGACACAGCTGGGACAGCACACCCCACCTGACCAAAGGGACATTCCAGACCATGATGTCATTCTTAGCACATCAAGCTGAGGGAAGGAGGAGGAAGGGGCAGATGTTCAGAGTGACAGTGTTTGTCTTCCCAAGTTACTGTCAGGCATGATGGAGCCCTGCTCTCCTGGAGACGGCTCAATGCCTGCTGGCCCTGGGAAGTGGTGATGAACTCCTCACTTTGCTCTGCTTACCTGCACAGACTGTGCTTCACTGGGCAAACTGCCTTCATCTCAAGCCACGAGTTTTCTCACTTCTGCCCTTCCAACCATCTCCCCAGTCCCACCGGGAGAGTGTGGGGGGAGGGAGGGGGTGGGTGGATGAGTGAGCAGCTGCGTAGGGCTTAGTTGCAAGCTGGCATTAAACCTTGACAGTCGGGGACCAAATCTGCTTCCTCAAGGCCTAATTCAAGGCACCACAGATTAGATGTTCCTTTCCCGGCTTTCTACTTACATAGTTGATGCTAATATTATATGCTGGTATAAATTTTATGTTGCTCTTGAAGGAGCTGCAGTGACATAAACAGTACAATGGCTACATTTGAAAGATTAAAAAAAAAAAAAAAAAAAAAAATTTAAGAAAGGCATAAATCCCCTGAACCAATAGGCAAATAAAAGGGAAATCATAAAAAAAAAAAAAAATTCTGTGCCCTCAACTTTGATCTGGTTTTTACCCTGCTTTATTTGTATTTGTCAAGAGTCACATTCCTGTATTGAGAAACTGCCAGGAAACAAGGACAGTAGAAAAATTGGAAGAAAAGAATTATTACTAGCATCAAGTTCAAGTCTTGGATACTGCCACCAAAAAGTAGAGAAGGGTGGAAAACTGAAATAACAGAAAAAACAAGCAAATACATACTCAACAGGAAAAAGCTTGATATGAATATCTCCCATGCTTGTGTGGATGATGGCGCTGTCTGAAACTCTTTTGGGACCTTCTGCCTGAGTGGCTGCCATGACCTCTTCTTTAGAAGGTTTCTCATTAAACACATCTCTGTCAGAATCTGCACTCTTTGTATCTTCTGGTTCACGTTTAGTAAACTGCAGAACAAAAGCACAGAAGGTTGACTCTTCGGGTTTTTTCCCCGGACCTTACATACTGCTCTGCACCCAAGACACCAATGTGATTATGCAACCTGTCAAAACACCCAACCAGATCTCAAATGGAGGGAGAGGATTCACAGATGGTTTATGTTTGCATTGCAGTGTTGTGCGTTACCAGCATATCCACAGTCACAAATTCCAGCACAACTACATGCAAATCCAAGTAACCTTTTTTTTATCACGTATTGTCTTTAAACTTCCTCCTTGTTTGAGCAGAAAGCCCACAGTAGTTCAGCACCTTTTCTTCAAAAAGAGTGGAGAATATCAACATGTTCAAAGAACAAAAGCATACACCCTTCTCGAGGAACTATAGTTTATTTAAATGCTGGAGCAATAATGAAAAAAATCATTTCTAGTAAATCTATAGCTAGTTGTTTTGCCAATGACCAGGCCCAACAAAAATGATAACACCAGCAGGGAGATGAACCAATATGCAGACTGTATTGTAGACAGAAATGTTACTATATGAATGACCGCCGGGGGTACAAACAGGTCAACCAGCTCATACATGATCGATGCCACCCCCAACGATCCCACAAACGACACGACTCGGCCCACAACAGGTGGTACAGTGAACCGAGGCTGCCCACAGTTGGCATGGGAAACAGCCAGACCAGCAAGCTGAACACATGAGAAAAAGGTGCCCACATGGCAACTCTCACCCGATCGACCCGTGTTCGCAAAGGCCTAAACAAACCAGGGCCCAGCTCCAGGGAGAGTCAGGAGGTCTGCCCTGAACCAGAAAGCTCTGGGGAGTGCACTCCACAGACAGACACTCCTGACTCCCTGCAAGTGGTCCCAGCTTTTATCCCCCAGCAGACACCTGACCTTTGTCAGCTCAGTGCGGGAC